CCCCAGACAATCAGACACTTGATGGAAGCAGAGCGAGTCAAAGGCTTCTGCCAGATCGTGGTGGCTGCCAAGGTCCGAGAGGGCACCTCCCACCTCATTCAGTCCTGCGGGCTGGGGGGCATGAAGCATAACACTGTGGTGATGGGTTGGCCTAGTGCCTGGCGCCAGAGCGAGGACTCCCGTTCTTGGAAGACCTTCATTGGTATGTTATTTTCCAGGGTGTTTTACTGGGAAGAGATGGAGGGGAAGGTTCGGCACAGGAAGGTGAACCACTTTGCATGACCTTTGGCCTCTGCCTTCTAGGCACCGTCCGAGTGACCACAGCTGCTCACCTGGCCCTCCTCGTGGCCAAGAATGTGGCCTTCTTCCCCAGCAATGCGGAGCCCTTCACCGAGGGGAACATTGATGTCTGGTGGATTGTTCACGACGGCGGGATGCTGATGCTGCTGCCTTTCCTTCTCAAGCAGCACAAGGTGCTGGCTGGAGGCATTGCTGGGGAGGTGAATCAGTGGGGAAGATATAAGCAGGCTGGAGGGGGGGTTGCTGACTGTTCCTCTTCCCACTTCCAAGGTGTGGCGTAAATGCAAAATCCGCATCTTCACAGTTGCCCAGCTGGAGGACAACAGCATTCAGATGAAGAAGGACCTGGCAACCTTCCTCTATCACCTCCGTATTGAGGCAGAGGTGGAAGTAGTGGAGATGGTGAGACACAGAAAACAGTGGTAGGGGGAGGGTGAAGAAACAGGGAGAAGTTGGGAATATAGGGGTTGGTTTATTGTTTTTTCCCCTGGCCCAGCTTAGATGGGCGATCAGACAGTGATAGGTAGCATCCTTGATGATTATAAAACAAGTCAAGGACTTTTCGACATGTTGAATGCCAGGTCCCACCCACAGCTCTTGAAGACCCCTTGTTTCTTCAGCATTCACTAGCAGGTAACACACAACTTGTGAGCTGGTTTCCTCTTGTGCAGCCATAAGAGTTAGCCTCTTGCTTCTTTGTATATGTATGAACTGCTGGAGAGCTCAGTGGTTTGGGCATC